GGGGGTGTGGTCAGGGGAACAGCTTTCAGAACACATCAATGTTCTGGAAATGCGTGCTGTTCTGTTGGCCCTTCGGGGTCTTCGACCCTCCCTGCAGGGCAAGGCCATTTGTCTGGCTACAGACAACTCCACTGTGGTGGCTTATCTGCAGCGCCAGGGGGGCACCCGTTCCCCGGCTCTGTGTGCTTTATCCACCCAGGTCCTGTTGCTGTGTCAGGAGATCAGTCTCGATCTCACGGTGAGGCACCTTCCAGGTCGTCTGAATGTTCTGGCCGACACTCTGTCTCGGTCTCGGAGCCCGGTTCTCACCGAATGGACCCTCAAGCGTTCGGTGTTCCGGTCTCTTTGCCTGGTTTGGGACAGACCCCATGTGGATCTGTTCGCCACGGCCCTGAACTTTCGACTCCCTACATTTGTGTCTCCGGTTCCAGACCCTATGGCCATGGCGGTGGATGCTCTATCCCAGGACTGGTCGGGAATGTACGCGTATGCGTTTCCTCCCTTCAATCTGGTGGGCAGGGTGTTGGAAAAGATCCTTCTACACCCTTGTACTGTGTTGCTGGTTGCACCGCTCTGGCCTCGACAACCTTGGTTTCCTCTGTTGCTTCGGCTGTCGGTGGACTTCCCACGCAGCATCCCACCCCTGTGGGATCTGCTGTCTCAACCGAGGTCCCGACAGTTCTACTCGGGACCGGAACGGCTCCACCTTCACGGTTGGATGCTATCTCGGGAAGGCTCACTCAGACGGGCTTTTCTCGAGAAGTTGCAACTCGCATCGCAGGATCACTTAGACCTTCGTCTTCCGCCGTCTACCAATCTCGATGGTCCGCATTCGGTGATTGGTGTGTCGGACGGTCGATTGATCCAGTCTCTGCCTCTGTTCCCGTTGTAGCTGACTTTCTTTTGTCTCTGTTCAGGGACAAAGGTCTGTCTCCGGGAACTATTGCAGGCTATCGTTCAGCCATTGCTAGTGTGCTGGCTTTCTATGGTAGCAAGTCAGTGGGCTCGGACGCTTCATTGTCGGCTCTCATTAGGGGCTTCTACATTGAGAAGCCTCGTTCACGGCAATTGGTCCCTAGGTGGAATTTAGCACTTGTGCTAGATTCCTTGTTAAGGGCGCCATTCGAGCCCCTCCAGTCGACAGATCGGAAGTTTCTTACTTTCAAGACTGTGTTCTTGATAGCCTTTGCTTCCGGTCGCCGCAGAAGCGAGATTCATGCTTTCAGCAGATCTTCTTCTTGCCTTCGTTTTTCGGCTGGCCATTCTTCGGTCTCGGTGACCACTGATCCCTCCTTTTTAGCTAAGAACCAGGTTCCCGGTTTCACCCCAGGGCTTGTGGTTATCCCTTCTTTGGCTTCAACTCTGGATGGGGATTGTCCTGATCGCCTGCTCTGCCCAGTTCGGGCCTTGCGTTACTACTTGGCCAGAACAGAGGGGGGGGCGGGACACTCGTCTCGGCTGTTCCAGTCTCTCCAGCCCGGTCGCTCTGATATCTCTGCAGCGACCATCTCACGCTGGATTGTTCAGACTGTTCGAGCTGCGTATGAGTCGGCAGGGGATCAGTCCTTGCGGGTGTCAGGGGTTAGGGCTCATGAGGTTCGCGCTTTAGCTACTTCGTGGGCCTTATTTAATGGTTCTTCTTACGCTGAGGTCATGACAGCTGCTGTTTGGAGGGGTCATTCTACGTTTACGGAGTTCTATCTCCGATCTTTGTCGGGACAGTCTGACGGATTGTATTCTTTGGGCCCTCTTGTGGCTGCCCAGTCCGTTGTCTGTCCTCCCTCTTCTTTTGCATAAGCCTCATTATGTCTTCTCCGCGTGATCCGGAACGCTGGTCGTAATCAGGCTTTGTGTCACAAAAGGAAAGGGTATTTTGAATTTTTCCTCCGGGGGTATGGGTCCTATTGTTGGAACCCTTCATCGCTCCACGGAGACACCACTGCGGTAAGTCGAATTCGCATTATAATGACTGTGGTAACGTATTTTGAAATAGAATTGAGGTTTCTCTTGTGAAACCAATTTCTATTATAAATACTTACCACAGTCATTAGGTGAGTTCCCTCCCAGCCTCCCCTTGTCTCCTTGGCTCTCACTTTTTTGGGCTTTGGAATTATGAAGTGGGAAGCATGGCTTCGTGTCTTAAATCACGTGCGTGAATACTGCCGTCTGATTGGTGGGTTTCCCAGGGGTTCCCCATGGGGGGAAAAATTCTTTATTTACGTATGTAAAGAGCCAAGTAAGGTTGGAATATGCATTATAATGACTGTGGTAAGTATTTATAATAGAAATTGGTTTCACAAGAGATACCTCAAAACTGAGATTTTTTATATTTCCCCTGGTATGTTAGATGATATTAAAAAACGAGTATATGAATACGCCCAACCGTCATATCCTGTTCTGACAAAATACTGTTGTAGCATGTATGCATATAAAAGAACTATAAAATACAATGGCCACCTCATCACACGGGAATCCTATGTTCTTTACCGATAATTAATTTCTGTTGAGGGTGACTTTTCCATCATATGATTAGAATATTATCCGGAGGCTGAAATTCCACGGTCAGTCGAACGTTCATACGCAGTTTAGATAAACAAATAAACAGATAGCGCAATCAGTGTCCTTTGCAGCGTCCTCTATTGGTTTTGTTCGTTGTCACCAAGTTCGATAACAGAAATTGTTAAAACGCATCATCACGATAACGTTATGATTACACTGTAATACAGTAAAAAAAAATAAACTGTATCGAAAAAGAATGTTTGAGATGGTTGGTGAAACATTTAACATTCTCTCAAACCAGTAGAACACTTGTTTATGTGAAGAACGAAGATTACGTTTTAACCCAGGCTCTCAGTGCCGTCAACGTATTGACTATATTGAAACAGGGTTGTTAAATCATGGATGGGGACAAAAGTCTTCTATGACAAGCGTTCGATCATCTCAAACAGTTGCGTTTGATTAAAGTGTTAATCATACAGTTTTATTTTCAGAAACATGTATTAAAACAAAACAAAACATATTGATAGTTTTCGGCTTCAGCATCTTTTAAAAGAAAGATAATACAGTATAACCTGTATAAACTGGATGTCACCGGGACCAAATTATTTGTCCGGTTTACATAGGTGTCCGGTTTATACAGGATCGGTATGTCATGTTATGAAAATACAAAAATGCAGTGGTTCGCATTCGATCTGTATACAAGTGTGTAACCATAAACAACAGAGAAATGAATCGATTGCAACTTTTAATTATTTACAAAATATACATTATGTAATACAAATAAAGGGTGACCCAACATTGGATAGCGCTAATTTGTTTAAAATGTGTTTGCTTTAGATTGTAGCCGGCCAACAGAAATTTCAGGACCGGAATGTACATGGGTTACTATGCCAATTTTTGTGAAACACCGCCGGTTTTTGGAATGGACAGGGTCCGGTTTATACAGGGTTTAACTACAATGATTATATAGGGTATATGCCGGGACCACAAATCACCGCCGGTTTAGACAGGGATCCGGATATAGAGGCCGGCCAATATAAATACATGAACGACAAGTTTGTCAAGTAATCCTCCGAAACAATCAAAGTAAACGGCAGCTCGAACCTCGAAAACTGTAACGTTCAATTATCTCTTTAGCTTCCAGCAATTCACAATGCAAACATCTTTGATTAGTTGACATTAGATTTTGCGCAGTTCTGCCCCAAACATTTATATCCAGTTATTTCTATTTACCCCTGGTATAACCCGTATCTATACTATAGAAAGGCCACCACACTGTCTTATAATGAACAAACAAGTATATGTATATGCGTGTCTTCATATCCTGTCGTTCTGTACTATCCACAATATAAAATAAAGAAAATAAAGTTCCACATGTTGAATATTAATCGCTAAATATGAACCATGTTTTAACTGAAAATAATCCCATTGCTGCCTAAACATTACTCGAGCGAATCTTAAATGTTATGTAATGCAAGTTAAATGAATTTTGTCGTCGTGAAGAAAAATGCCACATGTATATACTATATCGGTGTTTTTTTAAGACACGGTCACAGCGTCCAAATAAGATTTACGACCTTCGCGGTTAGCACGTGTCTGTATTCCCTTCATTACCTGTATGATGACGCAATTCTTATATTTAACCAGCATAGCAGGTCATTTTATATATTGGCACATACAAACAATATATATTTATCTGCTTGCAATCACTATCTGTTCAAGAAAATAAACCTGTCAACATTAACTCATATATCGTCATAAAGTACCAAGACCATCGAATACATCTATTCTTACTGCTTAACTTCATGAAATGATCCCGTAACTTTACCGCCTGTCGTTGTGCTGATTATATTATTTGAATATCCGATTTTTAGCTATAATTAGCTTTATGAAGGAAGGGATGCAACTCGCAGATATAATGACCTCCACCAAAATAAATATGATAGGTGTGTGTCAAGTTTTTTTTGTATATATCCCATTATGTGAGCAAACAATATAAATATGATCTATAAACGAATATTATACTTCTTTGTACATACATTCATTCAATTATATTTATTCCACAGTAGAATATCCTGAAAGTATTACGCTAAGGAAGCGAGGTACACTTAGTTATTTACCAGAAATAAATTAAGCTAAAATTGTTTTAAGTGTGGATATAACAATAGCAGTTGTTGACTGGCTTCTGAACGTTAACGATTATGAAGAAGTGTTAAAAAATGTATGATGAAGTCACCCCAAACAAACCCATGAAAACATGTACACAATAAATCAAAACTACTAAAAAATAAAACAATAACATGTAGTTTTGTCAAGAAAAAGCCATTTGTTATTTTGTTCCCCCACTTCACTCCTTCATATACCTGAATGGTCTCCCAGCTGACCGAAATTTCATGTCATAACACTATGATTTAAACCCGTAGGTATGATTTTGCAAAACATAGGAGTTTTCGATGATAGCCACCAGAACGCCCTAACTGACAAAATATTTATTCCACAGTAGAATGTTCTGTAAGTATAACGCTAAGGAAGCGAGGTACACTTAGTTGTTATATATAAAAAATAAATTCAGCTAAATTGTTTTAAGTGTGGATATAACAATAGCAGTTGTTGCCTGGCTTCTGAACCTTAACGATTAAGAAGTGTTAAAATATGTATGATAAAGTCACCCCAAACAAACCCATGAACACATGTACACAATAAATCAAAACAACTAAAAAAAAAAAAATAACATGTAGTTTTGTCAAGAAATGGCCATTTGTCATTTTTATCCCCAACTTCACCCCTTCATATATCGGAATGGTCTCCCAGCTGACCCATATTTATGTAGAAAGTCTGGTGAAACCTTTGGTTGAAGCCCAAACCAACATGAAGGCATGGCTGTACAGACGGCGTGCCATGTCCTTCCGGAAAATACGGATGGTGCCAGGTTTTTGAGTGCGGACCTTGTGGAACCGTCTTAACAACGAGGAGATACATCTGTATCTTCGTAAGTCATGAAGCGTCAAGATCAACAGGTAGTACGCGTACACTATAGAGTCGACAAACACCCATCCTTCGTAATAGGTACCGTTTACTGTCTTTGGTCTCCCCATCTCATCCTGTAGATCATGAGGTATCAGACACTTGTCACATGGGCCAAACACAACTTCTGACACACTGAATCCTTTGTTGTTTTGACTAAGATAGATACATTCGACTCCTTCGATTTCCTCATATTTCGAACTAGCCTGTCTCTCTGTGCACACTTCGAATTCCCGACTGGACTCTATTGACTTTATGACAAGCGATAGAAGCGGTAGGCAACAACCTAACCGTCTTTTGTGATAAAAGAGCGTCGCTAGTTTTATACGTGCAACATATCCATTTCCACGAAGCTTCGCGATGTTTTCCTTTTGTAAGGAATAAAGACGTTTGTTTGGGAGACCCATCTCCTCACACACTGAAACAGACGAGAATGTATTTGAATCAAGTACTGACTGATTTTGAATTTCATTGAGAACATGCCAATCAATCATACCAATGTAACATGCTCTATACAGGTCGGCGTTCACTATTGTATTCAATTTGTTTTGAATAGCATCAATGCAATAACCTATTTCATCAATTCTTTTTTCAAGAAGGTGCTTCAGTAAACATATGCATGCTTCTTCCCTACGATGGCGACATCTTGCACCATTTATGTGAGCATTTAGTGGCAAACATGTATACACTACAGCAGGTTCTTCTTCAATGATACATAGATGTACCTTCTAAAATCGCAAGGACTCGCTGGTGGACGTCCCCTTCTAGTTTTCCTTCTAGCAAATTAACATCAGTCAGGAAATAGTTTACGACAATATTTGTTTTCAACATACGTTTTCAATTTCATCATGGAAGAAATGAAGCATTCGAACAGGTTTTCGGGTATCCAAAACCTTTTCTCTCGTTCCTCTGACATCCAAAACATAACAGTTTTCACATGATATGAACTCAGTGACTCTTTCATTTGCGGTTGGATTATCCACTTCAGCACCAACTTCAACATAGCGTAACATTTCATTTGGATATGGTTGAACGATTTGGTAAGGAGAAGTTCTGTTTTAGTCAAGGAAAGACGCCATTCAATGGCCTGGGTCTCGCTCGTTTGATGACCAACACCTACAACGAGGCAGCCATATTTCTTTGTAGTTTCTATAATCCATTTGGGAGGCCACCGGTGGTGTCTCTTCCTGTTACACCATTCGTCGAAATCTGTTGGTAGAAACGGACAACAAAATGCCATTACAGCATCACATTTAAAAGCAATTTCTTCTTCGCCTTCGCCATCTACCCCTGACATACTTAGAGCTGGCCCGTTAACTTCAAGTTGGAATGGGTCAAAGTGGTTATCAGAGCATGGTATATCATACTCGCGTGTGTTCAGTAAGTAAGTAAATCCTCTAAAATGAGTGTAAGTGCTTGGTCGGTCTGTGTATCCCTTTACTAAACATTTTAAATATTTATATCCTGGGCTGGGCCCATTTTCTAAAATGAATACAGGGAAATCTTTTTTTATTTGAGTTGATACATAACGTTTCATTTCATCCTGGTTCTTTTCATTAAACACCGCTGCAGGTAAAATGTAAAGAAAGTCTATATCTGACTCAGTGTCCATGGAGGAGCACAACGCGTCTCTTTTGCTGCCAACGGGGACCATGATCATGTCACCATCCAAAACAATACCAATAAGTGCATAGATAATTGCTCGCCTCCGATAATCAGTAAAGCTTCTGGACAACCCATATGCGTCTAACACACGGTTCAGTTGACTTGATGTTTGGGGTAAAGCGGTAGCCATGTCAGCTTAATTGAACCTGTAACAAACCAAATACGTAAGTAAGTGTATGAAAAGTAGCAAATTCTCCTATTATTGCATTGAGTATACCCTTACTGAATGTTACATTAATGTAAGTAATACACTTATATTTTAATTAACGAGAACATGCAAAACCACTTACATGATATCATTTTGTTTCTTTCTGGGAAGTCTGTGTGTGTGCGCGCGCAATGATTACTAATATCTCAATATCTCCACAATGCTGGAATATTTGTGTGGCACCCTGTGTTGTTCATATCCCACGTCGTGTTTATGTGTGTCTGCTGGTCTGATATGCGTACGGTGCTCGTTTGTGATTGTTGCGTTGTGTGTATCCTACACCGTGTGTTAGTTAATTGCTCGTTGTGTGTTTTGTATGTGCGGTTCGGGAGTGTCCGGAGAGTGTTCGTGTGACGTATGTAGGTATGAAACAGGTTTGACCACTGACGGAAAGTACAGGACATACGCGTTGCATTTTTCCTTTTTCTCTCTTTTATACTTTTGCCGCCGTTTGGTAGTTCCACTTTGACCAATTATATGGCAAGCCAAGTTGTCATTTATTCATCGAGCAATGTTGATCCAGTACTTAACCAAATTATATAAGATATCTCATATAGTATATAAGATATCTTATAAATTATATAAGATATCTTATAAACATGAGATATCTTATAAACATATAAGATATCTTATAAACATATAAGATATCTTATTTTAAGTTTATGAGATATCTTATATCTTTTATAAGATATCTTATATACTTTATAAGATATCTTGTAAAAGATATAAGATATCTTATAAAAGATATAAGATATCTCATAAACTTTTCTTTATAAGATATCTTATATCTTTTATGAGATATCTTATATAATATATAAGATATCTTATAAAGAAAATTAATTGAGATATCTTATAAAAGATATAAGATATCTTATATATTATATAAGATATCTTATAAAAGATATAAGATATCTTATAAAGAAAAGTTTATGAGATATCTTATATCTTTTATAAGATATCTTATATCTTTTACAAGATATCTTATAAAGTATATAAGATATCTTATAAAAGATATAAGATATCTCATAAACTTAAAATAAGATATCTTATATGTTTATAAGATATCT